TGAAGCCAGACAGCCGAAATTGTGTGCTCGGAGTTCTGGGTTAACATTCATTTTGAAGATACTAGGGCTTCTAGGTACGTTTAAAACCATTTTCCCTCTCATTGTGTGCCATAACAGCCCGTGTGATGAATTTGGGACACTTTTCACTATATCATGAATATATGAATAGGTAAAGACATGTAAGTCACGTGTACCTGTATATTTGCATTCCTCTGTGCATCGATACTGACGTGTAGATGGTGTGGATATTCTTTTTTCTGTCTGCAGCTGTCGCTTCCTCTGCAGAATTTGTCTGATGGGGCAAAGGCACTCGGCGCGGCTCGGTGCAAAAAGGCAACAATGCGCTCGGTGTGCATACAGCACAGATCGTCCTGACCATTTGACACGGCACCAGAGAACTCACACAGGAGAGAAACCCTTCAAGTGCAGTGTGTGTGGGAAGTCGTTTGCACATTCATCTACTCTTGTAAAACACCAGAGAACACACACGGGAGAGAAACCCTTCAAGTGCAGTGTGTGTGGGAAGACGCTTGCACATTCATCTGCTCTTGTAAAACACCAGAGAACACACACGGGAGATAAACCCTTCAAGTGCAATGTGTGTGGGAAGGCGTTTGCACAGTTAACGCATCTTCATGTACACCAGAGAACACACACAGGAGAGAAACCCTTCAAGTGCAGTGTGTGTGGGAAGGCGTTTGCACATTCATCTGTTCTTGTAACACACCAGAGCACTCACACAGGAGAGAAACCCTTCAAGTGCAGTGTGTGTGGGAAGGCGTTTGCACATTTATCTGTTCTTGTAAAACACCAGAGAACACACACGGGAGAGAAAGCCTTCAAGTGCAGTGTGTGTGGGACGGCGTTTTCAGATTCATCTGCTCTTGTAATACACCAGAGAACACACACGGGAGATAAACCCTTCAAGTGCAGTGTGTGTGGGAAGGCGTTTGCACGTTCAACTACTCTTGTAACACACCAGAGGACTCACACAGGAGAGAAACCCTTCAAGTGCAGTGTGTGTGGGAAGGCGCTTGCACATTCATCTGGTCTTGTAAAACACCAGAGAACACACACGGGAGAGAAAGCCTTTAAGTGCAGTGTGTGTGGGACGGCGTTTTCAGATTCATCTGCTCTTGTAAAACACCAGAGAACACACACGGGAGATAAACCCTTCAAGTGCAGTGTGTGTGGGAAGGCGTTTGCACGTTCAACTACTCTTGTAACACACCAGAGGACTCACACAGGAGAGAAACCCTTCAAGTGCAGTGTGTTTGGGAAGGCGCTTGCACATTCATCTGGTCTTGTAAAACACCAGAGAACACACACGGGAGATAAACCCTTCAAGTGCAATGTGTGTGGGAAGGCGTTTGCACAATCATCTACTCTTGTAATACACCAGAGAACTCACACAGGAGAGAAACCCTTCAAGTGCAGTGTGTGTGGGAAGGCGTTTGCACGTTCAACTACTCTTGTAATACACCAGAGCACTCACACAGGAGAGAAACCCTTCAAGGACAGTGTGTGTGGGAAGGCGCTTGCACATTCATCTGGTCTTGTAAAACACCAGAGAACACACACGGGAGATAAACCCTTCAAGTGCAATGTGTGTGGGAAGGCGTTTGCACAATCATCTACTCTTGTAACACACCAGAGAACTCGCATAGGAGAGAAACCCTTCAAATGCAGTGTGTGTGGGAAGGCGTTTGCACTTTCATCAAATCGTCAAAGACACCAGAGAACACACAAGCATCGGAAGATCCACAAGGAGTGGAGTCTGAAATCAGTTTGTGAAAGTCAAAGTGCCGCAATGAGCCCATCCCTCATGAAACAAGAACTGGAAGAAAATCCCAGCTTGGACACTTTTAAAGGTATCGAGGTGAAATATGAAGAGGTGATGGTGAAATGTGAAGAAGTGAGGGTAAAATGTGAAGATGAAGATTCAACTCCAAAACCGGACCTTCGCATCGATGGAGGCAACGTGAAGCAGGAGGAGAGTTCTGACTGTGAGGCAGAGCGAGGCAACTCCCAGCAGTTTGTGGAAGTGGAGGTGTGGGTGGACTTCCTCCAAAACAATACAAAGTCAAATGGAGACCCGTTAGATGTGTAAGCTTGAGACGATGTCGCTCCAATAGATGCACCTTTGTCACAGGCCTTTAATGACAAGAATGTGAAGTTGAACGCTCAATTCCTAGGTGCAACCTGCAGGGTAAGAGCGGCCAGTCTTTGTGGACCTGTGGGTTGGGTAGATCTCTAACTAGAAGCGAGAGCCAATAATCTCCCAAGCATTCACTAGGTTCTAATAATTCCATTTATATCGTGCTTGCTTAATCGACGCTGGCAATTCGGAGTTTTGTGTCGTATCTCGTTTCAAACACTCGAAGAGCACCCCCAAGTAGCAGCTGCTCCTGTGTGGCACAAGGTGGTGGCCCTGCACCGGCCTGCATGTGGACAAGAGCCTGTCAGTAGGGGGCGATGGTTGATGTGGCATCTTATTTGTGGAGTTTGTAGGTAATGTTTAGAATTTGATACATTTTGACCCAGACGCCAGCATGCAATGGCCTACTCGTTTTGAATGGCGCAAGAGTATGTTGTACATACACTGTTAAGCAGACGGTGCGTATTTTTAAAAATACGATGTAACCTGATGCAGCATATTTCAGTGCAGTAATACAATTTCGTTAAAATTACTCAATAATTTAGAATGAATACTTGTCTGATTTTGTCTATAAGGGTCAAACATTGAATAAGTGATGTTAGGACAAAGTGTGTGTTTTGGAAGTAACCTGTACAGGTAACTCAGGTGCGACTCATTGTTCTTGTGATACAGGGCAAAGGGGTTTTTTTGTGTTTTCAGGAAGCATCTCCCTCTGGAGCAACTCATTGTCTTTGAAATAGGGAGCACACTCGGATCATTCATCAGCTACAAGGCATACGACTCAAAAGTTACATGTAGAGGAGAAACATTCTCTACAACACTAATTATAATTTTGTTTTACGTGTTGACGTAGATTTTGTCGAATAAGGACGAGAAATGGTCCTTGCTGATTAACGTCTGGATGTCCATAACTATCGGTTGAAGCATCCCGGCTGCTCTTGAGACGCTGTACACCAATAAGGGTCCACAGGTGGCTTGCACTGAATCAGTAATGCACTCCCATAAGGCTGTGCTAGTTATAGTTTGTGTAAAACATTCCTTTGTTTCGTGGAGAGATCGATAAATGAAAGATGTCGTGTCTGCTGATCTGCGTCATACCAAGGAAGTAATTTAAGAGACTACATTTGAAATGCATTTTTGGTACAGATTTGTATTCGGTTACAAGGCAGCGCACATCTAGTAGATACATTCTCCACAACAACACTCATGAGAATTTTGCATGACGTCTTATATGTTGGTGAACTAGGACAAGAAATGCTCCTTGCTGATTAACGTCTGGATGTTCACAACCAAGGGTTGAAGCAAGCCTGACCGCCTGCGGTGCCCCTCAACCATTTACAGCCTAGGGCCAGGAAAGTCACGAAAAAAATTGCACACGAACGACGCCTCCACGCAAGCTCCCGATGCTCCGTTTTGAAGTTTTAAAATGAAACAGTTTTAATTTGATTGTTTTGAATTCGATAATTGTATTTCCTCATTAAAATCTTATCTCATTATACTTCTGGAAGACTTATATGAAAACGACATTTGGTATGAATTTTCTCTCGTCGTTAAGTAGATGGCCTTGCCGGGGTTCGGTTCGATGCGGACTTTCACCTGGTTGGGATCGCGGGCTCGAGATGAGGCGACACAGAGCTGGCCGTGCGAGAAGACCGGCGTCTACAGATCGATTTCAACGCGATCGAACGTCTGTCCCTTCGCCTCCGTCGTTCATGCAGGGGGTGCGTAGATATGCAGAGCCCCTTGCATGAAAACGATGGAAAGTTCAGCGTTCATCACAGATACATTTGAGCGCTTATATAAAAGAGTTTAGCCAGTGGGTTTTCAAAGTACCTTCGTCTTACAGAAATCAATTTCGCGTGAGCCCACCGCATTAAAACGATGCTCAGCTGAGCGGGGCGAGCCACGGTGTGGGGACGGGGGGGGGGGGGTCACCTTATCTTTGTCACGTGCCGTAGCTCACGTGACTTCTGCCGCGACAATGTCTGGATGTTTTCACCTGAGGACGACCGCTCGTTTTTCGATCGAAACGTGATTTATTTATTTTATTTTTTCTACCTACGTGACTTTACCGAAAGAACCAATGAGTATGAAAGACGTCTTGTCTGCTGATCTTGTTCATATCTGTGTACATCGATATCTCACATTGCTTACACATACACACCACACACAATGAACTATATAGAAACTAGAACGACTTCCGGGGATGGGCAAAGATTGAGGAATCTCTTTCAATGGAGCGAGTTAAGTTTGTTCAACATCTCTCTGTCCGTCTGTGTCTCTGTTTCCCTCTGTGTCTCTCTCTGCCTGTGTCTCTCTTTCTATCTTTCTCTGTCTCTGTGTTCCTCTTGTTTGTGTCTGTCCACCTGTCTTGTCTGTGTCTGTCTATCAGCGTCTGTCCAACCGTAGTCAACGACTGTCAGTAGCAGCAGGCGCCCGTTCAGCTCCCACGGCTACACGCCACTCAAACTTGCTCCCAACACACAAAGACAAAGATCCCCCGTACAGCTTGGACAGAATGTTGGGGCAAGTGCAGTTAGTGAGCACCTAACACAAAGACAAAGATCCCCCATATAGCCTGGACAGAATGTAGGGGCAAGTGCTGTTAGCGAGCACCTATTAAGGGTGGGACGGCACATGAGGGGGTGGGTGGCCAGCACCACGCCGGGCCGCCTTTGTCTCCCTAGTGGCGATGTTTACACACCGCGCCAGGTACTCGTTTGAGGCCGAGTCGACGTAGGGGAGGCTCAGGACCGGTTCAGAAAATCGTCACTGGCGGTGTTGGCCACGAGCGGGAAAGGAACCCGGCTGGTCGAGAGCGCAGCGCTCTCACGTCACTGCCGCTCCCCTTCTGTCACCGCTCAGCATGACCTCATCGGCATCAAACGCGAGGGGGCGGTAGGCCTAGCTAGTGACGTCATGTCAGCCACACCCGACAACCGCTCTCTTGAGCGTTACGTCACCTCCGTTCGGCCGCTGCCGATTTCTGTTCCGGTGCCAATCCTTATTTGGGCAAAGCTACGCCCGGTGACTGCACGCTCATTAACATAATGTGTCCGTTAAAGCCGTCCGCTCAGTGTGGGAGGAGAGTGTCTTGTACCCCGGAAGTGACGTCACGTCACCTGGTGCCGCGTGACGTCACGAGGAAACCTGAAGCTGCCGCTTCGTGCGTGAACTGAAATCCGAGGTGAGAAATTCTCATCGCGGTTGTGGTGGTTGTTGTGGTGGTTGTTGTGGTGGTTGTTGTGGTGGTTGTTGTGGTTGTTGTTGTGGTTGTTGTGGTGGTTGTTGTGGTGGTTGTTGTGGTGGTTTTTGTTGTGGTGGTTGTTGTTTTGGTGGTTGTGGTGGTGATTGTGGTGGTGGTGGTGGTGGTGGTTGTGATGGTGGTGGTTGTGGTGGTTGTTGTGGTTGTTGTGGTGGTTGTGGTTGTTGTGGTGGTTGTTGTGGTGGTGGTTGTTGTTTACCGAGGTAGAGCCTCGCCTCGTAGGGATGTCAATTGAGTAGCAGCGAGCATGGAAGCGATGTCCAGGTTGGAACTTTACAGCACGGGGCCTAGCCACACGGGGCCTTGCCTCCTGCCCTCGCCTGATCGCGTTTGCTTCAATTCTCTTGCTTAGTTGAGCAATCTTTGTAAGAATGTAATCGACCAGGCTATGCGTTAATTTTGTGTTGACCGACTCTCTGTGTTGCATTGCATTACATTTCCAAATTTTACTCAGTTTGTTTGATTAAGTGTGCTTTCTCTCTGTGTCCTGTTATTATTTACTGCAGTCACCAAAGCTCCAATCTCTCATTGGCACAAGGCCGTAATTGTAATATATTATAATAATTATAATATATATTGGGCGACACACACTGTTGTATATATGTTTTATGAAAATTGATGAAAATAATGAAAATTAATTGAAAGTTGAATTATGCATAAATTATCCGAAATTATGTTAATTAGTGTAATTATGCGCATAAATTATGCTGATTTGAGACATAATCGTATTAATTTATGCGAGTGGGCGTGGTTCGGATAATGCAGGTCGTTATGGATTATCAGGTCGAGCCTCGGTGACTAGGATTGTGTTATGAATTGGAATGACGCAATTAATCGTATGCAGTGACGCAGGCGTTGTGAGCGTGAATGAGAGAGAGTCGATTCGACTCTGCTCTTTAATTCCGTATTATCGATAAGGATACGATTACTCTCGATTGAACATTACGAATTATGTGTGTTATGGATTATGTGTGGTGATAGTGTGCTTATGATAGGTCCCCAGAATTCAGATCTCATACACAGAACAATATTATTCAGAATTTCAGGAAGAATCACACACAAACCTTCTGCTTTAATCAATTTTATTTCTAGCTAACTTTAATTTTTGGATAATATGAAAACTCAATCTCGGGATTTTGGAATTTCAACACAGCGTTAACATGATACCATCACGATTGCGTTGTTTCTCCTCGATAGCGGCACCTGTGGTTAATTCCCGACGCGTAGCGCAATCGATCGGTTGTTGAGAGAGAGATTAAAAACATGCAAACTATTCTATCAAACCTTAACTTTATAATATGCAAACTCGTATACTTGAATTGTTACACAACACGGCACTCGGTCTTTGATTCGTATCCAATCCTTAACACATTCTGATATGCGAAATTATAATGCTTGAAATCGTCAGCACAGTACCACGGCGATGTTCGTTCATTAATTCATCAACGATTATGCAATTAAAGCGTTCGACTGAAATAATTCTGATTGCCTCATCAACGTAACTCAATGGGTGGCGATGTTTTTCGTTATCAGCTAATAGTTGACGCAGTTATCATGAGTCTTGTATGTTTAATGGGAGGGTTGTTGATTTCTTGCGTTGGGCAAACGCCTAGGTTGATTTCCTTGTCAAAAAAAATGTTTGTTCGTTGTGTAGCGGTGGGGGAGTGAGGAGGGAGTGTGGGGGAGGGGCATACGAACGACTGCCAGTTTCTGTCCACCGCTGGCTGGATGAGTCAGCACGACGCTCGCCGTCGTCGCGCCGATGGGTGTTGAGTGCGGGGCCGCTGCCCTCTCAGCCCTGGTGACGCGAAGTTGCGCGCTGTAGCACGCTGGTGGCACGCTGTTGGCACGCGCTGGTGCTGGTGGCACGCTGGTGGCGCGCTGTTGGCACGCGCTGGTGCTAATGCTGGTGCTGATGGCACGCTGGTGGCGCGCGCTCCCTCTCCTTGAAGATGCGCGAACGCGCCCGTGCTGATTCGCTGACAGCAGTTTCTCTCCACTGCTGGCTGAGCTGCTGCACGCTCTTGCTTGGCGTTGCTGGCCGCGCTCTTTCTCCTTGAAGATGCGCGAACGCGCCCGTGCTGATTCGCTGACAGCAGTTTCCTCCACTGCTGGATGAGCTGCGCCGGTGCGCGCTCTTTCCGCTGCTGTAGTATCTGACGCTGCACTCGCGGGCGACAGGTCAAGTTTTTCTTCTGCTGAGTGAGCCGAGTCGCACGCGCTCTCTTTGTTGAGGTTGTTGGCGGCTCTCTGACAGCAGGTTTCTTCCACTGCTGTATAACTCAAGTCGCACGCGCTTGGTCACTGGTTTGCTGAAGTTGTTGGCGGCTGCTCGTGCTTTTCCGCTGCTGGTTGAGCCACGTTGCACGTGCTTTCCTCGTGGAGATGCTCGAGCGCTCTCAGCGCTGATTCGCTGATACTTTGTTGGCGGCTGGCCAAGCTTTTTCTTCAGTTGAGTGAGTTGAGTCGCACGTGCTCTCTCTGTTGAAGTGCGCGAACGCGCCCGTGCTGGTTCGCTGACAGCAGGTTTCCTCCACTGCTGTATGGCTCACTTTTGTTGATACATCGCCACTCAGCGATCATCGCTACTCAGCGAGGCTCGGAGCCAGCCGCTCCATGCGACTGCTCGTCCTGTGGACGTCTTGACTCGCTGATCTGTCTTGACTCTTGACTTAACTTCACTGACTTTTGAAAATGCGGCTGACCGTTATATTCAAAGACAATTATCTCTGCGCAGTGGAAAAGGGGGGGGGGCGGGGTCTGTGTGTGTGAGTTCGTGTGGTTGTACAGATGGCTCCTGCGATAACGATCTGTTTGCCCTGGCGTGAAATTCCTCTCTCGCGCTCTTCGGGAGAGACAAAGGTGGTCGGGAGTACCTATCTCTTTATACTTTCGACTTTATATTTCTCAAATATCATTTGGTCCCATGTTCGCCAAGACTCGTGTTTGTAACTACGTCCTCCCGACACCCCTCTCGGGTTACCGAGGTTCGCATTGATATGATGGAGTTATTAGAAAGAAAAATAATTTTCATCCTGAGTTTAAGAGGTCCGTTTCCAGATTGTTGGAATCCATATCCCTTGGTTCTGTAAGGTTCTATAATGGAATATCGTTTAAGGTTAACACGTTATTATTAATATTATATTGCAATTTTCTTTAAAACTTTGTTTGACTGGTTGCCATGTGTGGGGTGGGGTGTGTCTCCTCATCAAACCCAGCTGGCTTTTCCAGATGGCCCCTTGTGATAAAGGTGGTCGGGGTTGCTTGGGATATTGTTTAAACTCTTTTGTAAGTTTGCCCGTTCACCTCATTCCTTCTCGATAACCTTTGATGTGACTCGGTATTTTGTCTCCAAGCTTTGTTTTAACAGTAAAAGTATTAAAGGTGAAAATCATTTGATCGCGAATTAATTATTGGATAATAATTCACTGATGTATCTGGTGGCCTGGTCTTGATTGGAGTGAGCGCAAGGACCGCTTACTTTAGCTTATTCTTGTTATTGCATTTTAAATTTGAACCGTTGTTTTAATGACAAAGGAAAAAAATATATATGGTTTAACCCGTGGGCGTCCTCGTTTCTGGCTTGCGGAGGGCTTCCCTCTGCGTGACCTCCCTTAGGGCACATCAAACTCTTGTTCATCTGGAGATCTTCACAGATAGCTGCTAACATGCTCACCTCGAGAGTTTTATTATTTCTTTATTTTTTAATGGTCTGTTTATGATCGACATCTGGTTTTTAGTGTGCCTGGCTTACGGGTTTTATTTATTATTTTGTTTGTTTGTAAAAAAATATATATAACGCAAATATTATTGTTAATATCAATTTTAGAAAAGGCTCATATACAACAACACCCCCCTCCCAATAATAAAATATGCTCAAAATGTCCCCCCCAATATATTGCTATGAAAATATGTTTTTTAAATAATAATTGCTATGTTAATAAAAACCACAATTTGCTAAACCTTGGCCACAAAATCTGGACTTGTCTTCATATAACAATGCATAGATTTCTGTTTATATGATTGCGTTGTACTTTATGAATCCCTAATCTCTGCCATTACATACTATGAAACAAGAAAAGGTAAAAAAGAAAAAACAGAGCAATGTAATACAATACAATATTAGACATTGTATCAAATAAAACAAATTCCAACCCATGTGTTAGTGAATTTTTAAAATATTTTATGCAGGAAATGGCAGGAAATTAGTTTTCAAATTACATTTTTTTCTGGGGGGGGGGGACCCCAGACCCCCTGGAAAATTTGGTCCCCCCCCAATGTTGACTCCATGGCTACGGCCTTGCAATGACTTGCTAATTTCTCTACCCCCCCCTCTCTCGCTATTTAAGGCCTCGACACAGAGGCGTTGCCTATGTGTGTATCTCTCTCTGTGTGTCTTTGTGTTATCTCTCTCTGTCTGTGTCTCTGTGTCTGTGTTTTGTCTCTCAAATTGAGCAATCTTTGGAAGAACGTAATCAACCAGGTGGGGTGTTGTTGACTGTTATGTTAGCCGACTTTGTGTTGTATTGCAGTACTTTCTAAGTTTTCTAGGTTTGTTTTCTCTTTCATTTGTATCTGATGATGATTGCTTGTGTTGCAATCGAAACGTCGTATGCTATTTGCACACAGCGTTGGTGTACGGTGCTTTTTCTGGAATATTTTGCTGTTTTTTCCTGGATTTTCTATTTGCACAGTCACATAGTCACTTCAAGATGTTTTCTTGTTCGTGTTTTTGTTTTTTGTTTGTTGCGGTTGCACCCGATTCAAGAGCCGAAGGGCTCACAGAGCTATACCAAATAAATGAAACTGAAAATATTATTTTATTTATTTAGTTTTTTTCCACGTGACTTTACCGAAAGAACCAAAGACTATCTTGCTTAAGTTTTAATTTCTCTTCACCTGGCTTGCTACTTTGTTACTTTGTTTTATTTTAAATATGCACAGTTTTTATTTAATTTTTTTACCAGGCCACGCCCGCGTTCAACTGCTGTACTCCTCTTGTTTTCAAAAGCGACCTGCCCACAACAACAATAACAACAAGGTGGGGCTTGTCAACAGCATGGCGGTGTTCACTCTAAACGCGTGGAGGTGTTCACTCTGGATGCGTGGAGGTGTTCACTCTGGACGCGTGGCGGTGTTCACTCTGGATGCGTGGCGGTGTTAACTCTGGACACGTGGCGGTGTTCACTCTGGACACGTGGCGGGGTTCACTCTGGGCGCGTGGCGGTGTTCACTCAAGACGCTTGGCGGTGTTCACTCTAGACACGTGGCGGTGTTCACTCTGGAGGCGTGGCGGTGTTCACTCTACTTGGTGGAGTGAGGAAGCATTAATTCTGAGCAGGTGAAGGTGGCCAGGCGTGGGTCTGGACACACCACCACCTGTGAACCATGCCAGTGTGTGACAGTGGTGGAGCCAGTGGGGGTGTGGTGGCACGTACTTCCCCAATGGTCCGATTGAAATCCCTAATTTCGATCGGATCATTGGGGTTTATTAGTAACTAGCTTCACTACCTGGCTTCGCCTGGGACTTGGATTCTTGTCTTGGATAAATTTCAAATTTCATAATCCATTATCTGTGTTGCGGGTTGACGCCACACACTCCATGGTCAATTCCCCCACTCCCCTAAAATACAAAAATATATTTTAATACTTTGTGCATTGTGTCCAATCTGGAAGCTACCCACATTACAAATGTCAAGTTTGTAGCATGTTTGGAAGTATGCTGAACATTTCAAACAGACACAAATTCACAATTGTGTGCAGTTGCGTATTCAGTACACGACTTCCCTGATGGCAAACACCTTCAGCGAGCGTGATGCCTATCACACGCATCGAATAAAAAGCATAGGACAAGTCCTTAGTAACAACTCCTTACTTACTAACAACTCCTTACTAACAACTCCTTACTTACTAACAACTCCTTACTAACAACTCCTTACTCACTAACAACTTCTTACTAACAACTCCTTACTTACTAACAACTATAATTTTTAATTTGCTGAAGGGGTTGCCCCTCCTACCTGAAAATCCTGGCTCCACCTCTGAGTGTGTGACAGGGTCAAGTTTGTATTTGCAGTAAACTCTATTAACTATATTGAGCATGGCGGTTATATCAAAACAGTTTATTTTAGTTTTCTATGGAACTCTTTGTAAGAATGGAGTCAGGAAGTTATCACAGCACACGTGCAGCTGAAGTCGGAACTGTCCATCCCAGCATTCAAGGACATCTGTGCCTGGCTTCACACCTCTAAGTTGCAATTGAACATTAATTTATGCATTTCTGCACAACACAAATAGTATTATTTTCAACACCCTTTGCTATGTCAGCTGAATTTCGCTTTCATTAATATTTCTTTTGAAGCCAGACAGCCGAAATTGTGTGCTCGGAGTTTTGGGTTAACATTCATTTTGAAGATACGAGGGCTTCCAGGCACGTTTATGACATTTGCCCTCTTATTGTGTGCCATAACAGCCCTTGTGATGAATTTGGGACACTTTTTCACTATATCATGAATATATGAATAAGTATAGACATGTAAGTCACGTGTGACTGTGTGTTTGCATTCCTCTGTGCATCAATACTGACGTGTAGATGGTGTGGACATACGTTTTTTTCTGTCTGCAGCTGTCGCTTCCTCTGTTGCTTCCTCTGCAGAATTTGTCTAATGGAGCAAAGGCACTCGGCGCAGCTCGGTACAAAAAGGCAACAATGCAACCTGTGTGCATACAGCACGGATCGTACTGGAAATTTGACCTTGCACCAGAGAACTCACACAGGAGAGAAACCCTTCAAGTGCAGTGCGTGTTGGAAGGCGTTTTCAGTTTCATCTACTCTTGTAACACACCAGAGAACACACACGGGAGAGAAACCCTTCAAGTGCAATGTGTGTGGGAAGGCATTTTCAGATTCATCAAATCTTCATGTACACCAGAGAACACACACGGGAGAGAAACCCTTCAAGTGCAGTGTGTGTGGGAAGGCGTTTACACTTTCATCTACTCTTGTAACACACCAGAGAACACACACGGGAGAGAAACCTTTCAAGTGTACTGTGTGTGGGAAGGCGTTTGCACAGTCACCTACTCTTGTAAGACACCAGAGAAGACACACGGGAGAGAAACCCTTCAAGTGCAGTGTGTGTGGGAAGGCGTTTTCAGATTCATCTGCTCTTGTAGCACACCAGAGAACACACACAGGAGAGAAACCCTTCAAGTGCAGTGTGTGTGGGAAGGCGTTTACACGTTCATCAAATCTTCATGTACACCAAAGAACACACACGGGAGAGAAACCCTTCAATTGCAGTCTGTGTGGGAAGGTGTTTTCACAGTCACCACATCTTCAAAAACACAAGAAAACTCACAAGCATCAGAAGATCCACAAGGAGTGGAGTCTGAAATCAGCTTGTGAAAGTCAAAGTGCTGCAATGAGCCCATCCCTCATGAATCAAGAACTGGAAGAAAATCCCAGCTTGGACACTTTTAAAGGTATAGAGGTGAAATATGAAGAGGTGAAGGTGAAATGTGAAGAAGTGATGGTGAAGAGCGCAGAAGTGAAGGTCAAATGTGAAGATGAAGATTCAACTCCAAAATCGGACCTTCACATCGATGGAGGCAAGGTGAAGCAGGAGGAGAATTCTGACTGCGAGGCAGAGCGAGGCAACTCCCAGCAGTTTGTGGAAGTGGAGGTGTGGGTGGACTTCGTCCGAGACAATACAAAGTCAAATGGAGACCCGGTAGATGTGTAAGGCAGAGACGATGTCGCTCCAATAGATGCACCTTTGTCACAGGCCTTCAATGACAAGAATGTGAAGTTGAACACTCAATTCCTAGGTGCAACCTGCAGGGTAAGAGCGGCCAGTCTTTGTGGACCTGTGGGTTGCGTAGATCTCAAACCAGTAGCGAGAGCCAATAAGCTCCCAAGCATTCACTGTTCTAATAATTGCATTTATATGGTGCTTGCTTAATCGCCTCTGGCAATTCGGAGTTTATTTATCGTATCTCGTCTCAAACACTCGAAGAGCATCCCCAAGTAGCAGCAGCCCCTGTGTGGCACAAGGTGGTGGCCCTGCACCGGCCTGCATGTGGACAAGAGCCTGTCAGTAGGGGGCGATGGTTGATGTGGCGTCTCAGTTGTGGAGTTTGTAGGTAATGTTTAGAATTTGGTAAATTTTGACCCAGACGCCAGCATGCAATGGCCTACTCGTTTTTAATGACAATAGTATGTTGTACATACACTGTTAAGCAGACGGTGTGTATTTTTTTAAAAATATATTCTTGTTAATACGATGTAACCTGATACAGTATATTTCAGTGCAGTAATAAAATTTTGTTAAAATGACTCAATAATTTATAATTAATGCTTGTCTGATTGTGTTCGTACATGTATCATTTTGTCTATAAGGGTCAAACATTGAATAAGTGATGTTAGGACAAAGTGTGTGTTTTGGAAGTAACCTGTACAGATAACTCAGGTGAGACTCATTGTTCTTGTGATACAGGTCAAAGGGTATTTTTGTGTTTTCAGGAAGCATCTTCCTCTGGAGCAACTATTTTTCTTTGAAATAGGGAGCACACTCGGATCATTAATCAGTTACAAGGCATACCACTCAAAAGTTACACGTAGGGGAGATGCATTCTCTACAACACGAATTATAATTTTGTATTATGTGTTGACGTAGATTTTGTCTTACTGGGTCTAGAAATGCTCCTTGCTGATTAACGTCTGAATGTTCGAAACTATCGGTTGAAGCAGCCCGGCTGCTTTTGATACGCTGTGCACCAATAAGAGTCCACAGGTGGCTTGCACTGAATCAATGATGCACTCTCAGAAGGCTGTGCTAGATATAGTTTGTGGTAAACATTCCTTTGTTTCGTGGAGAGATCGATAAATGAAAGATGTCGTGTCTGCTGATCTGCTTCATAGCAAGGAGGTAATTTTAAGAGCACATTTGAAATGCATTTTTGGTACAGATTTGTATTCGGTTACAAGGCAGAGCACATCTAGTAGATACATTCCCCACAACAACACTCATTAGAATTTTTCATGACGTCTTATATGTTCGTGAACGAGGACTAGAAATGCTCCTTGCTGATTAACGTCTGGATGTTCACAACCAAGGGTTGAAGCAAGCCTGACCGCCTGCGGCGCCCCTCACAACCATTTACGGCCTTGGGCCAGGAAAGTCACGAAAAAAATTGCACACGAACGACACCTCCATGCAAGCTCTCGATGCTCCGTTTTGAAGTTTTAAAATGAAACAGCTTAGAATTGTATTGTTTTGAATTAGATAATTGTATTTCTTCATTAAAAGCTTATCTCATTTTACATGTGGAAGACTTATTTGAAAACGACATTTGGTGTGAATTTTCTCACGTCGTTAAGTAGATGGTCTTGCCAGGGATTCGGTTCGATGCGGACTTTCACCTGGTTGGGATCGTGGGATCGAGATGAGGTGACACAGAGATGGCCGTGCGAGAAGACCGCCGTCTGCAGATCGATTCCAACGCGATCGAACGTCTGTCCCTGCGCCTCCACTGTTCATGCAGGGGGTGCGTAGGTTTGCAGAGCCCCCTGCATGAAAACGATGGAAAGTACAGCGTTCGTCACAGATGAAGTTGTGCGCTTATATAAAAGAGAGTAGCCAGTGGGTTTTCAAAGTACCTTCGTCTTACAGAAATCAATTTCGCGTGAGCCCACCGCATTAAAACAATGCTCAGCTGAGCGGGGTGAGCCACGGCGGGGGGGGGGGGTCACCTTATCTTTGTCACGTGCCGTAGCTCACGTGACTTCTGCCGCGACAATGTCTGGATGTTTTCACTTGAGGACGACCGCTCGTGTTGCGATCGAAACGTCGCGATTTATTTTTTATTATTTTATTTTTTCTACCTGCGTGACTTTACCCAAAGAACCAAAGTATGAAAGACGTCTTGTTTGCTGATCTTGTTCATAGCTGTGTACATTGCTTACACGTACACACCACACACAATGAAATAATTAGAAACTAGAACGACTTCTGGGGATGGGCAAAGATTGAGGAATCTTTCAATGGAGCGAGTTAAGTTTGTTCAACATATAGGAATAGGTTTTACCCTTTTAACTGGCACAAAAACTGACACCTTTATTCAAGGCATCATGTTTGCAATGACCACAACACAAGCAGTCAAAATGCAAACAAAAAAGACAACTCTGATAATAATATGCACTGTCTTTGAATTTGATTGGTCCACACCCGAGACAGCTTTTCTTAGAGCCTAGTCTCCATTGGTGTTGGACCAGAAGACGCCAAAAGGCGTACAACTAAAAAAACAGCGCACTATCAGAGTATTGAGGGCTCGGGGTGAGCATTTACATTATGAGACCTCCTTTGCCAGAAACAAGATATAGGAATAGGTTTTACCCTTTTAACTGGCACATCTCTCTGTCCGTCTGTGTCTCTGTTCCCCTCTGTGTCTCTCTCTGCCTGTGTCTCTCTGTCTATCTTTCTCTGTGTTCTTCTTGTCTGTGTCTGTCCGCCTGTCTTGTCTGTCTGTCTATCAGCGTCTGTCCAACCGTAGTCACCGACTGTCAGTAGCAGCAGGCGCCCGTTCAGCTCCCACGGCTACACGCCACTCAAACTTGCTCCCAACACATAAATACAAAGATCCCCCGTGTAGCCTGCACAGACTGTTGGGGCAAATGCTGTAAGCGAGCACCTATTAAGGGTGAGACGGCACACGAGGGGGTGGGTGACCAGCACCACGCCGGGCCGCCTTTGTCTCCCTAGTAGCGATGTTTACTACACACCGCACCGGGTACTCATTTGAGGTTGAGTCGACGTAGGGGAGGCTCAGGACCGGTTCAGAAAATCGTCACTGGCGGTTTTGGCCACGAGCGGGAATGGAACTCGGCTGGTCGGGAGCGAGGCGCTCACCACGTCACTGCCGCTCCCCTTCTGTCACCGCTCAGCATGACCTCATCCGCGTCAAACGCGAGGGGGCGGTTGGCCTCGCTAGTGACGTCATGTCAGCCACACCCGACAACCGCTCTCTTGAGCGTTACGTCACCTCCGTTCGGCCGCTGCCGATTTCTGTTCCGGTGCCAATCCTTATTTGGGCAAAGCTACGCCCGTTGACTGCACGCTCATTAACATAATGTGTTCGTTAAAGCCGTCCGTTTAGTGTGGGAGGAGAGTGTCTTGTACCCCGGAAGTGACGTCACGGTACCTGCTGCCGCGTGACGTCACGAGGAAACATGAAGCTGCCGCTTCACGCGTGAACTGAAATTCGAGTTGAGAAATTCTCATCGCGGTTGTGGTGGTTGTTGTGGTGGTTGTGGTTGTTGTGGTGGTTGTTGTGGTGGTTGTTGTGGTGGTTGTAGTGGTTGTGGTGGTTGTTGTGGTGGTTGTGGTTGTTGTGGTTGTGGTTGTTGTGGTTGTTGTGGTGGTTGTTGTTGTGGTCGTGGTGGTTGTTGTTGTGATGGTTGTGGTGGTGGTGGTTGTGGTGGTTGTTGTTTACCGAGGTAGAGCCTCGCTCTATCTCTCGTAGGGATGTCAATTGAGTAGCAGCGAGCATGGAAGCGATGTCCAGGTTGGAACTTTACAGCGTGGGGCCTAACCACACGGGGCCTTGCCTCCTGTCCTCGCCTGATCACGTTTGCTTCAATTCTCTTGCTTAGTTGAGCAATCTTTGTAAGAATGTAATCGACCAGGCTATGCG